TGATAATACAATGTATTAGTGAAGATGTGGCAAAACAAGGTTTTCTACACATTGCTGGTGGGAGTGAAAACTGGCACACTCTCTATGGGATGCAATTTTCTAAGATCCATTAAAATAATATGCACATACCCCTTGACCTAGTAAGTCCAATTCTATGAATTTATTCTACAGATATACTTGCACACATGTGAAATGGCAATGCACTGCAACTTTGTAATAGTAAAAGATTAGTTATTACCTGAAAGTCTATCAGCAGGAGACTGGTTAAATAAATAATGGTTTAGCCAACAATGGGATATCATGAAGCTGTAAAATGACTGAGGACTCTCCTACATAGAAATTCCTTCTCTGTAACCATGGCAGGAAAATGAAATAGATGACAGGAGAGGTCCAGAAAAACCATAAATACCTATAAACATTATATATATATATATATATATAAAAAGATGCAGAGCAGGATGTTTGGTGTGCTATCTGTGTAAAAATGGGGAAGGGAGTATACACAAATATGTATTTGCTTGTATATGCATAAAATATCTTTAAAAGGACACACAAAACCTTGGTAACATGGATTGCCATTGGGCAACTGAGTAGATGGGAGACAGAGAAAGAGGATTTCCATTGTGTACCTTTTGGACTTTTTGAATTCTGATAATATATTCCCTATTTAATCAGTTAATTAATTCATTAGAAATATCTCTCACATAGAGACACACCCATAAGCACACACACAGATCAAACATCATTTGTTATCACACCTCAGACCTAGAAAGATAAGTAAATCCCCAGCATGCTATGTTTTTGGCAACATTATCAGCCTACTGGGCCTTGGAATTTAATGATGTATTATAATTAGGGTAAGTAGAACTCATCAGCCAAACATGTCCATCTCCTGAATTCCTAGCACTTATCATGCACATTCATTGAATGAAAAAATTCCAAAATGAAGGATAAACTACAAGTGAAACAGTTAATGGCCTTTGTGGATAATCTCAACTATTGATAAAGTAAAAATAAACATGGTTGTTATAACTGGTAAGCCTCGAGACTTGATTTCCACCACCCAGTTGTGAACTTGGTAAAGTCACTTAAATTAGGAGAGCTGGCTGCCACATTAGTAAATACAGAGTGTGGACCAGATCATTTTTAATGCTTTGTCCAGGTGCATTTCTCCTAGAAGTATCCTAATTGCATTCTTCATCAGAGTGTATGACCAAGCTCTTTACTATAGGGTTATGTATAAGTCTCCAGCGTCTTAGACTGGTGAAGACCCCAGAGAGTTCCCCTGCATTTCAGCCTGACCCTTTTCCTCTTTGCCTTAAAATATACAAAAATCTTCCTGTTAATCCAAAAAACCTCTTGGGAGCCAATAGTTCATCTAGCTACCTTCTTGTTTCTTTCTTCCCTTTATCTGCCAAATTTCTTAAATATGCGATTTGTACCTGCTCCTCCCATGATTTAAAGCAACTGACACTTTTGTCTGTCTCTCTTATCAAGGTGAAATTCACATTACATAAAGTTAATCATAAAGAGTACAATCCAGTGGCATTTAGCACATTCACAGTGTTGTCTAACCAACACCTCCATCTAGTTCTAAAATATCCTCATCACCTTCACATCAGACCTCATGCCCATTAAGTAGTCACTCCTCACTCCCTCTTCCCCTCAGCCCCTGGCAATCATTTTCTATCTTTATGTTTCTATGGACTTAACAATTCTGGATATTTCATATAAATTGAATGTAACCTATGTAAACTTTGGTGTTTGGATTATTTTACTTAGCATAATTTTTCAAGGTTCATCCATGTGGTAGCATGTATCAGTGCTTCATTATTTTTTGTGGCTGATTAATATTCCATTGTATGCATATATCATATTTTGTTTATCCATTCATCCATTGGTAGAGATTTGGATTGTCTCCACCTTTTGGTTGGCTACTGTGAATAATGCAGCTATGAACACTTGTATACACGCATTTGTGTGAATACCTGTTTTTGATTGGATATACATTTAGGAGTGGAATTGCTGGGTCATGTGATAATTCCATGTCTAAATTCTTTGAGGAAATTTTTGTGTCTCTTTTTGAAGCAGTTTTCTTAGGCTCAAGGTGGAGACATTAGTTATAGTCTCATTCACTCAATAAACAATTAGTAAGTGCCTACTAAGGTTAGGCCCTTTATTCAGACACTGGAAAATTTGAAGGTGAGTAAGACTGTTGCCCCTTTGAAGGTTCTCATGGTCTGCCTGAAAAAGATACATGGGGAAATTAATAAAATGTAAACTGGATAATGTCTTTCCTATAATAAAAACCTTCCAGGAATTCATCTTTGTAACCAGAAGAATACCTAAATTCCTTACTGGGGCTTCAAGGCTCTGCCTACACATATGACTTAATTTAATCTCCATGTAGAAAAACTCAGTCTGTTCTCTGTTTCAGCCCAGCCCATATTTCATAAATTTATTTATTTATAAAGAAGGCCCTTATTTAAATATTTGTGAAATAAATGAGTATGTGAGTTTCATTCTGTTCTCCCCTTGGCTTCCAGGCTCCAGCCTTTGTTCTATATCTTGAATATGCTGACTCATTCCCTGCACAGGGCCTTTGTTACTTCTGGGAATGCTCATTACCCTTCTGGTCCTTCTGGGAATGCTCATTACCCAGATCTTTGCATGGCTGTTTCCTTCTCATCATTCAGGTCCTGACTACTCTCGTTAATAGATCCACCCAACCACAGTCTCTTTCACATTATCCCATCTTATTTTCTTCATTGAACTTAACCATTCCTGAAATTGTCGTTTACCTGCATATTTTCTTATATTCTCTCCTAAAATGTAGCTCCTGCTTGCATCATTTGCTGCTATATCACCTGAACTTGGCACATAGTGACTGTTAAATATTTCCTGACTGATGAATAATTGTACTACAGTTGTGTCAAATACTAAAATGACAAGGCACAGTGTTGGCTCCAAGAAGGGAGAGATCCTGGAGGGGTGTTTGAGTTTCTTGACATTTTTGAGTTCTGGCTTCTAGTTTTCTACTTCCATGCCCACCTTCACAGTTATCACAATCATGTCTATACCCCAAACATACTTGTGTTCCAAGCATACTCATTTATTTCCAACTACCTAGTAGAAATTTCCAAGTTATCATTCTCCAGTCCCAGCTGATTCCTGAATTTTTTCCTGCAAACTTAGGATTTTAGGGCCTGCTTTAACCACTCCATCTTCTTCATCTGTGACATCCATCCTGTCAAAACACCAGTGTCTTCAATGCTTCTAGTGTTATGTTCTACCCCCTAAGAGAATCAAATGATTTATCCAGATTCCAAACACTTCAGAGTTAGCATTTTGTGATCCTTAACAAATACGGCCTCTCCTTTACCATTGTGTACCCAAATTTCCCTTATACCTGTATAAGGCTTTTGCTGATCATTGCTGTTCTCATTTATTTGTCCCTCACCTAACCTCCTAAAGGCCATAATATCTGTACCTCTCTTTTTGGTACTTAACAAATATGATCTTGTTTAAATGAAATCATTCACTGATTTATCCTAATAGAAGAGAAAATTCTTGAAGTGCAGGTTGTTTAAAAGTTTTAAATAATATCCACGGCCTTGTACCCAGAGTTATGTGCATATCATACATATATAAGTAATATCTTAATGAATAAATAAATATGGATATTGAGAAACTATGACAAAATCTCTCATGGACTAGTAACAGGTTTCCAGAGAGGCGAAAAATAGAGATGATTTGTATCTTTGCTTCCTATACATCTTTTTTGCAGTATTCCCAAAATAGGCTGCACATTAGAATCACATTGGAAGCTTTACCTCATAGAGATTCTGACTTAGCTTGTCTGGTTTGGAGCATCAGTGTTGTGTGAAAACTCCCTGTGTTAATTCCAATGTATAGAACCACTGGGCAAGACTTTCAGAACCTATCATGTTCTATAAATATCTAATTATATATTTCCATGGTGCTTTTCTTTTTTTCTTGAGTTTGTGGGTTTTATGTATGACAAGTTTATGTGTTATATCAAATCACTATATGACCCACACAGTACAGTACTGCTGAAATGGGAACTTTCAGTTTAGAATAATCTCAATATGGTGTGTTTGGGGAAAACAGTAAGACATCTATTGATAATACTGAAACAACAGAAAAGGGGCAGACACTATTTGTTGGCCATTCAATAATATTTACAGCTTTTCTTCCTGGCTTACAAAGTCCAGATTTTGTTCAGGTGGCAATGTGCTCATCTTTGGTGGATGGACCATGATTGGCCTAAACCTATTTGGCAATCCCATTTTCCTTTCTTTGGTACTCACCTTCCCAGCCACTGAAGCTAAGGTAGCCGAAAAAGTCATAGACAATGATATTTTGGGGCAAGTCTACTGGAAAATTGTTTGCTTTTTATTTTATTTTTAAAAAATATTTTATTTATATATTTGAGAGAGAGAGACAGAGATAGCGAGAGAGAGCAAAGCGGGGAGGAGAGGGAAAAGCAAGCTCCCCGCTGAGCAGGGAGCCCAATGTGGGGCTTGATCCCAGGACTCTGAGATCATGACCTGAGCTGAAGGCAGACACTTAACTGATTGAGCCACCCAGGAGCCCCAATAGTTTCCTTTTTAAAAAAGACACTGGGCTTATGTATGCCACCTATTTTCCTTTCCTTTCCTGGCTGTATACTTTCTTAATCATTACCATAAAGTAACAAGCACAGGGACAAAAAACCAATATACTGAAGATGGCAGAACAGAAGGACAAAAAGGTTTTGAGTTTGTGATACTAATATTCTTCTTGAGTCTTTGGAACTACCAACATCTTAACATTCTCTTACTATGTGAGAGTAAATGTCTTTATTACATACTCAACTAATAAAAGTTGAGTTTTTTGTTATTTGCTGCCAGAAGCATTCCAAGTTGTCTTAGTCTGCTTGGGCTCCCGTAACAAAACTATAGATTGGTGACTTAAACAACAGAAATTTATTTTCTCACAATTCTGGAGGCTAGAAGTCCCAGACCTAGTTCCAGCAGGGTCTGTTCCTGGTGAGGGTTTTCCTTCTGGCTTGAGGTGGCTGCCTTCTCACTGTGTCTTCACATGGTTTCCTCAGTGTGTGTGTGGAGAGGGAGAACAAGCTCTCTTGTGCTTCTTCTTATAAGGACACAAATCTCATCATGAGGAATCACCTTTGTGACCTCATCTGAGCCTAATTACCTACCAAAGATCCCATCTCCAAATATCATCACATTGGAGGTTAGGATTTCAACATAAGGAAGTTTGGGGCAGGGGACACAAATATTCAGTCCATATACCAACTGTTAAAAGATTCCTCTGTTCACAATAGGAATGCTGTTAGCCTATGAACATGCTCAAGGTAAAAGAAAAGCGATGTGTATGTTTTTAATGGCATTCTTCAGGGTTTGGTTGAAAATTACAGAATTACCATAAAGGAGGTCACATAACACATAAAATGTGGCAAAAATACAAAATATACCCCCTCAAAAGTGTAAAACAATTACAAAAGTAGGAATCACCTATATATTCGCTAAATATTCACTGAATGCCTACTGTGTGCACTGTGCATTTGGGGGATTTAAAGGTGAAAATTTCAGGGTTCCAGGCTTGTATATAATCTATTAGGAGAGATAAGAGAAACATGAATGACTGATGAAGAAAGACTATAATACTCACTATACCTACAGAGATACAAAGTACTGCAGAAGTTCAGTGTTAGGAGAGGGAACTTCATTGAAGAGGTCAGATTTGGCATGTCCCTTAGGCTAGCAGGAGAGTCTCTATAGAAACCAGATGTGAACTTCTGAAGGGAGCCACAGGAATACATTTTCTCATCTGCACTGGGCTGCCTTCTCTCAGAATTGATTCTCTTGCTGAAAATGGATAACTGATCAACTTAGTCATGAATCTGGGGCTAAGTTTTAATCCTGCCCTTGCTGATGAAGAGGATTTAATAACTGCCTGAAGGAAAAGTTTCACTTTTAGCTAGGGTCCTAACATTTTTAGGATAATATTATTTAGGAACCTGGCAAAGTAATTAACCCACAGCTTCTGTTAATATACTTATAAAACATAAAACCCTTGTTTACTTTATCACCAGGTCCATCATTGGTACCCTCAACTATTGGGGACATAGGTACTTCAGTCTTTAATGAACTGTTGGGAAAACTGATGGAATTATGAAGGCCAATAAATAGTTTGGCCCTTTAAAGAGAGCTAATGGAAGGTTGTGACAATCTAGATTATACAGTCTCTTCCAAACTTTCATTCATCTCTACTATGTATACCAATGCTACTCCAGCCACTTCTAACATTTGCAGAACCTGTGGTGAGAGCTTAAATGGAGGTCCACATACCATATGTCTAAATATTTAAAAGTGACTTGTCAAATGGTTGCATAAAACAGGTTCCACCTTCCTACTCTGACAAATACGTACCTTCGTTAACATCCTGGAAGGCCAGGTTGTAGTGAGTTCTCAGACTTTAGAGGAGGAATCCTGTGTGGGGAGTTAGCTCACAGCCTCCAGACCCCAAACCTGCTCTTGCCACCCTGGCTTTGTCTCTCACTATGAATGATTTCATGCATACGTGTGAACATTCTGCCTGCACATCCAAAATCCATTCCCCACTCCTGTAAAGTCACCCCTTGGGCTTGGTGGATGCAGACCTAGAGGATGGCCCTGTGCGGGTCTTGGAAGTGCACTTAAAATTCTAGAGAGCTGGTTGTAGAGCGTGGTCTAGAGGTGGGGAAGGCTGAGGAACGATGAGTGTGTACTCTCCCTTGATCTCATGGACTCCTCAAACAATGGTAAGGGATGAGATGCAGCCAGGATAAAGTCAGAGCAGAGAGCCCTCTAAAATGCTGCACCCCAGCACTCCTTCCTCTGCTGCTTGTGAGCAGTGAGAACTTGTGTGAGTTCTTTAAACCATATGGGCCTCAGTTTCCTGATCTGTATAAGGGAGCATAAAGCTGCTCCTCCTGCTACTACACCAAGGTTGTTGAAAGGCCTAAATAAATTTAACAATGTATGTACAAGTGCTTTGCAAACGTGCTATATACTCGTAATGTATTGCTGTTATGCTGGTCTTTGTTTGCCTGCTTGTTTTCCATTGTACCATGTACTAAATCAAAGGGCAAAGCAGCTGCCTGCTGTGCACATGCTCTCATGTTCTCATTAACATACAACCAAAGAAGCAAATACGGAGAATGGATGACAAAGGAGGCAAAGGTTATTAAATATCCTTCAGATTTTATGTTTCCTAAACATGCTGCCTGAATCCTCCAGGTCTTTGAGACCCTGAGTTTGTGGACATGTGCTAATTTGCATGGCTGATCTAGGCTCCCAGACTGATGACAGGTAAGGGACATTACTCTTCAGCTGTAAAGCACGGTAACTCCTGCATTAAGCAGGAAGCAGACTGATATCTTATCTGTTCAGCCTGCGCAGAATATGCAGTGTACCTCTGTGGCAAAAGCAGGCTACTGAACGAGCAGGGTGTGCCGGGGAATGAATTACACCCTGAGCTTCTGCATCCATAAAAATGAGGCCGTTCTGGGGTCAGGCGGGTGGGTGATGTGTCATGGAGGCAGGTTAAACTGGTTTGACCCTCAGGCTCCCTGATTTGAAGCTGACAAAAGGGGCTGTGCTGTGACTCTGGGCTCAGAATGATCTTACTTTGTCTCTGGCCATTTTGAACCGGGGAAGACTCTGGATTTCTCTTTCTTAGAATTGTGTTTTCTTTCTTCTTTAAAAATTAAAAAAAAAAAAAACACATATCATTCCTATCTGTACAGAAATCCAAATCAGTGTTGTTCTCAGGGTAGAGATTTTATTATGTTTGGGGCAAAACCCCCATAATCTTTATCCCATTTTAGCATCTTACTAAATATAACAAATTGTGCTATTTCTGTTTTTTTTTTTTTCTTTTCAAAAGCAATTACTTTCCTGTCATTTTTAGACATGCAGGCAGAGGAATCTGCCTTGATTACCCATCCTTCCTCCCCTCCCCCTTTCAAGTCCTTCGGCTTCTGCACTGTTAGGGAAGGATTCAATTAAATGAAGTGTCAATGGAGTTACAATGGTTTCAGGTCAGAGACGTCAGTAAAAAGCTGCCGGGCTGTGCTACCCCTGTGTATGTAAATGTATATATTTATACCAGGGATGTCAACTTTCAGGACTCTCCTCCTCTGCTCTTCCCTGATCAAAGATGATTGCTGAGGCAATTACTGCAAAGGAAAAGAAAATCAGGGCCTCTCCTTCATCCTTGTGCTGTTGGAGTTTAATTGCTTGGAATAATGGAGCAGGAGTCCCTTCCCTTTGCACACGGCCACACTTAGGCACACACAAACTTTTACGCATGGCTGTGCTAGGACATAAACACACGTGATAGCAATGCAGGTAAACATGCATGTGCCCCCTAGTTCTGATGTACATCCATGTACAGGGCTGCCAGCACTGCAAAGAAAAACACTGCACTATGCTAATTCAAGAAAAGCTAATTCAAGAAAAGCAATGCACAGTACCTGGTTCACAGTAAAAACCGTGTTTTTATCTTCTTTATGAAAGACTTAATTTTTATTCCCTTACCGAAAGAGAGAGCTAAAGTTAAAAAAAAAAAAAAAAGAGAGGATAGAATGAGAAGACACAGCAACAAAATACACAAATACTTCAAACTTCTTTTGTTGTTTAATTCTTCTCTACACACAGTCACAGAAGTCCTAGGTCTCCACACAAACACTTCACATGTTAAAACCCCTCTCAGACCCTTTTTGCTTTGTGTAGGCAGTTACAAGGACAAGTTGAGTATTCTGCACTATTCACTGTGTTCTAGGCTCTTCTGTTTTGTTCTCCTAAGACATGGAGAGGGATTCTAACTTGCATCAACAAATACAAGGAATGACATTCAGATGCAGAGAATTTGAGCTTTCTCTCCAATTAGTTCTGCTGTGTGCAGGCACTGGGAGTGCACGCAGCTTCGAGCTAGGGTGAGTCCCTGGTCATGCGTAGAACACAGGCTCTAAAGCATCCATATGGCAGCTATAGTTTTTCATTTCAGGCTCCCAAGGCCTGTCAGATTTTAAATATTATTATTTGGTCTAATTGATTCCTCCTTTGATGGCAAGAGAGTAAATAAAGACAGGGAAAAAATACCCTCACAAACCCTGTCATCAACACAAAGACACACTGCAGACGCTTGGCTTTGTGTTACAACCACTGAAAATTTTCCTTTTTCTTTTTATGGATTAAACTGTTGAGGCTGTATGCATGAAGCACATGTCCATCCTTCCTAGGACATCTGAGAATACACACAGCTTTTCAGAAAAAGGAATTTAGATTTTTTTCCCACAGTTGTGATTGTTGAAAGTAAGAAAAAAATATTTTCTGAAAATTTCAGAAAATGGTGATGATAGGTAACAAAGTACAGGCTAAAAATGATCCCAAAGCACCTTATTTTATAGGTTTGGAGATAAAATGTGACTATGTGGGAGGGCCCCCCGAATATGCCAAATGTTACAACTGAACCCCTGAGAATGTCTGTTATTTTTGTTTTCCTTGCTCTGGTTCCTAACTGAAGTCTGGGCTTGGATTTTATATTTCTGATTACCTTCTCTAATGGCTCTCAGTGCCTCTTTACAAACGTATGTACCTCCGGCTGCAGCCTCAGAGCTGCACTGATGCTAATGAGCTCAGAATCTGCCCAGCCCTCTATGTTAAGTCTAATAGGAGAGGCAGAAACAGAAACAGACGATTAGAATATGGGATAAAGGCCATGATAAAGGTAATGGGAGAGTACCCAGGAGGGGCACAAAATCTATTTGGGAAGGGAAGAAAAGACATGGGATCCTGTTCTGGAGGAGATGATTCCTGGGCCAGAATTAGCCAGCAGGGTATCAGTTGTAATGCCCAAAGCAGCCAAAGTCACCTTGCACTTGAAATTAATTTTTTTCAAGTGATTTGATCTAACTGTCATTTGATGGGAAGCCCAATGCCCTTTTCCAGAATTTTGTAAACTCCTGGGTTCAGGTGGCTTTTAGGCCAGATCCTATTGCATATTTGTCATAGGCATTAAACTTCCTTTGGTCTGTTTCT